GTCTCCCTCGCCAGGAGGTGCAGGACATGGAGGCTTCTGTCTCCAAACCATCCCGTGAGAGGTCCCCGGGAAGCGAGGGAGAGGAGGCGCCTCCCTCCCATAAAAAGAAAATTCGAACTGGTGGACAAGGCACTTCCAAACCCCATAAAACGTAATCTTCGCGTCGACCATTATTCAATGGAACTGTCGAAGTATTAGATCTAAAGTAAATGACCTTAAATTATTAGCCTCGTCCTATGCTCCCGATATTATAGTCCTCCAAGAAACCCATTTAACGCAATTCGTCTCTGACGAGGTTGTTTCGCTGAGGAACTACCATCTGTGTCGGAAGGACCGTGAGGGTAGGGGTGGAGGCGGAGTCGCCATGTACATCCACCAAAACCTCCCTTTTACAGAAGTGACTTTTAATTCTACTTTGGAGTTTGTCGCATGCAAAGTAAAAATTAATGGCACGTATCTGGCTATATGTTCAGTTTATTGTCCACCTGATACAGTGATAATCTATGATGAGCTTTTTGCTCTTCAGGAACGTCTGCCACAAAATAAAGTAATTCTAGGTGATTTTAATGCTCATCATACGTTATGGGGTTCCCTGCGGGTGGATGGTAGAGGTGAGCAAGTAGTTAAGTTGATTAATGAGTCTGATCTAGTCCTTCTGAACGATGGTAGTCCCACGCGGGTGGACGATAATACCGGTAATTTGAGCTTTATTGACCTATCACTGGTCTCTTCATCAGTAGCAGCTAAGTGCCTGTGGCACACCATTGACGACTCGTTGGGAAGCGATCACCTTCCTATTTTGATTAAATATTCATGCGACACAGTGAGAACGCCTTCAGCGCCTAAATTTAACGTAAAAAGAGCAGACTGGGTCGCCTTCACAAGGAGCGTCAAGCTCGAACTAGTTGGAGAGACCATTGATGATAAAGTAAACAATATTCAGAATTCGATTATAGAAGCAGCTTTGCTATCCATTCCTAAAACTTCGACAGATAGCGTTAAGCATAGAGTTCCATGGTGGACACCAGATTGCCGCAGGGCGCTGTGCCGACGCAATAAGGCCTACAGGCTTTTCAAAAATAACATCACAAACGAGAACTTTTGCAATTACAAACAAGCAAGAGCTAGGGCTCGTAGAGTAATTAGACAAGCAAAAAGAGACTCCTGGCGGAGCTTTGTCTCTACAATAAACAGCAACACAAAAACATCAGAGGTTTGGTCCACAATCAATAAAATCAATAAAAAAAAACATCTTTCAAAATTAAAAACATCATTGACGAGGGCAATAACATCGATTCACCTAGAGACATTGCTAATGCACTCGCCAGGCAGTTCTCTCATACAAGCAGTTCAGCAAACTACCATCACGCATTCCTGCCCATCAAGGAAGCGGCTGAACTGCAACCAATTCACTTTGCCACAGGAGATGACTTTGATTACAATAAAGACCTTACAATAGATGAGCTTGTCCGAGCCCTAGAAGCCTGTAGAGGAACATCCCCAGGCCCCGATGAGATTCGATATGAGATGATGAAGCATCTTAATCATGATGACATGATTAAGTTGCTAGAAGTGTACAATGAAATTTGGAAAAGCCACACTTTTCCAAACTCATGGCACTTCGCCCACATCATTCCCATATTGAAAGGAGGGGGTAATCCCAAACTTGCCATCTCCTACCGCCCAATTGCGTTGACAAGTTGCTTATGCAAGGTCATGGAAAGAATTGTTAACAGTAGGCTATTGCATTTTTTAAATTCCAGTCATTTGCTAGTTGACGAGCAGTGCGGCTTCCGAAAGGGACGCCAAACTCTCGATCAACTAGTAAAGCTGGCCAGTCATATTGAAGAGGCAATTGCCAAAAAATATTTTTTAATTTCAGTATTTTTAGATATAGAAAAAGCCTACGACATGACATGGCGATATGGCCTACTCAGAAAACTTTATGCTTTTGGATTACGTGGAAACTTGCCTTGTTTTATTCAAAATTTCATTTCTGACAGAACGTTTGCTGTCAAATTATTTTCTGACAACGTCACTTTTTCGGACATTTTTGTCCAGGCAAACGGGGTCCCACAAGGAAGTGTCTTGTCACCAACATTATTTCTATGTATGATCAATGACATCTTACCAGCTCCCCCTCGGAATCTTAAATACTCACTGTACGCTGATGATTGTGCATTATGGCACTCCAGCAATAATGCAGAATTCTCAGCAAATCGCATCCAATTGGCACTGGATATGATTCATAACTGGGGCCTCCAGTGGGGTTTTAAGTTTTCCATTAGAAAAAGTATTGGGGTAATTTTTTCACATAGGAAAAAGCCGAACATCAGGCTAACTCTAGACAACCACCCAATACCAATTCAAAATTCTGCTAAATTTCTTGGGCTACTTTTTGATAGTAGACTCAATTGGAAAGACCACATTGGTCAGTTAAAGAATAAATGTCAAAAAGCACTAAATTTATTAAAGTGCATTTCTGGTAATAAATGGGGAGCTGATAGACAGTCTTTGCTAATGATATATAAAGCCCTGATTAGGTCTAAAGTAGATTATGGGTCAATCGTGTATGGTTCGGCATCAAGAACAAGTTTGAAAGGTTTGGATGTTGTGCAGAATGCTTGTTTGCGTGTGTGTGTTGGAGCCCTGAAATGTACTCGGATCGAGCGTCTTGAGGTGGAGTCAGGAGTACCTCCCCTCCGACTCAGACGCGGCCAGTTAGCCCTGAGCTATGCCGCGAAGGTGGCTCGAGACCCGAACCACCCTAATGGCAATGGAGGCATTAGGCCCTTTGCCACAAGACTCCACGACCTCGCCGAGAAAGTCGGTATAGATCTCTCTACCATCGATACCCTGGTTCATTCAAATATAGCGCCATGGGAAACCCCCAACTTTTCTATCATGGAAGCCTGGCTTCCATCAGCCAAGGCCATGGCGCCGGAGGTGGAGGTACGCCAGAGGTTCAGAGAGATCCTTATTAAACATCTAAACTTTTTTCATATATATACCGACGGCTCCAAAACAGATGATTGTGTGGGTGCGGGTGTATGGTCGACTGAATGTGAACTAAAGTTCAGATTGCCGAATCGTGCATCGATTTTTATTGCCGAACTTTTTGCCATTGACAAAGCTATTGATTTTGCTCTATCGACGACCCACGATAGAATAGTTATTTTTTCAGATTCACTAAGTTCACTTAAAGCTATTAAATCCTTAGAAACCACTAAAAATGAATTGCTGGGTAATATCATTCGTAAGTTACATGGTGCCAACAAATCAATCAAGCTAATATGGGTGCCAGGCCACTCTGGTATCCATGGCAATGAACAGGCAGACAAACTAGCCGGGTCAACTGGCGATCTGGACACTACCATAGTTCGTACAGATCTCAGGTGTTTTGTGTCTCTTATAAAAGCAAAAATACATCTCCTGTGGCAAAGTGAGTGGACCAACCTCCAACTCACAAACAAAATCAAAAACACCATAGAAGCGTGGGACACATCCCACAGGAAGGACAGAAGGGAGGAGGTGGTGTTGGCCCGCCTTAGGGTCAACGCCTCAAGAATTACCCACCTCACTCCCTACATTGAAAGAAATTACCCTCCAAGATGCCAGCCTTGCAATACCAACTTCACAATTAACCATATAATAATAGTATGCCCAAAATATGCATACTACAGACAACCACTAAAAAATTACTTTAGAATTAAAAATAAAGAATTCACATTGTTAAATATATTATCAGATGATGAAAAAATAATAAGTAAAGTAATCACTTTTTAAGAGAGACAAAACTTTATGACCTTATATAGATTGATAGAATAAATAGGATCCATTGGCTTAATAACCTTGGCCACATGCCGCTGGTTGATAGCCAAGAAATCCAACAAACAAACAAACAAACAAACCAGACAAGGCAGAGAGGGAGAGAGAGCGAACACAGCCATTTCCACTGTTTGCCAGTCCTGTCCTGTCCAGCGGCAATTTTGTAAGCATGTGGGAAAATCTCCGAGATGTATACTTTTTCTGATTTGAGATTACGTGTTTTGTTGAAAATATACACCGGTACCTTGACTTAATTCTTTTTCTTTACAACCATATGAAATCATTAAAATTGTAACCTGGAGCCTCCAAGAAAATACGAACAGCAAATATCGGTTTGATAACTAAATAACAAATCTAAATACTAATGATATAATTGTCATAATTAAGGTAATTAACAATAACTAAAAGATAAGGACTTAAAATTACGGAAATGAGGATTAATATACTCTGAATCTTCACAAATAGTAAGAGGAATATCTTGCTATAAAGAACTTGTGCCACGCCTACCACGCTACTCTACTTTGCTATACGACAATTTTGGTCAGACAGAAATTAGTTCATCGCCCAGAAACTAAACAGGCAGCTTCCTGGAATACCATGACTTCAAAAAAACAAATGAACCCACAGCAATATTGTGTCTGTGTGTGTGCGTGTGCGTGTGTGTGAGTGTGCGTTTGTGTATGTGTTGTGCGCGTGTGCGTGCGTGTGTGTGTCTGTCTGTGTGTCGGTTTTGATTTGTGTGCAGTTATTTTGAAAAAGCAAGCTGTTCCTCCGTAACCTGACTCTATATGAGGTGCAGATATGTTAATGAATCACAAATTTGATTGAGGGTTTTTACGTTAAACTCGTTTCTTGGCACATTAATGTAACACTATTCATGTAACTAACATTGTGTCAATGTACGAAATTCTCGTAAATTTCTTTTTGGAATTTAGAATCCCTTTTCCGTCGTCTGTAATGTTGTCCCATCAGAATATTAGTGGCATTATCACTGATTTCAACAAAAATAGTGGTTTTCTTGAAATTGCAAATCAAGTCGAACATGACCGGAAAAGCTATTGTGAACGAAAAGAGCCTCCACTGTCCGAGAACAGTGTACAAAGTAGGCATGGTACGAAGGCACGAGTATACGGCTGATGTATATCATCAGAGAGAGGGGGAGGGTGATATAGGGGCGATGGCCGTGGGTTATTCCATCACATTGGCAATGACTGCAGTTACGAAAGGGGTAGAAATTAAAGTACCCGTTGCGATGAATAAACATTTTGGAAAGAGATCGTTTAATGTTTTCTGAAAGAGAGGAGAAACTTACAAACATTCAGGATAACTTCCATGACCAGGCAGCTTTGTAACAGTGAAGGCATACATAGTAACAGAAAAACGCCATAGTAAGATTTCAGGTGTGTCTTCTTCCAATCACGCTGTCTTCTTCCTCCTCTTCTTTAGGACAGACTCAATTCTCTTAAGACCTGGAATTCGAAGAAACACAAGGTTATTTGAAGACTCACTCACTCTTAATGTTTTGACAGTATCGGTAATTTCTATGATTTCCCTATCCCCTTTTTTTATTAACGTTCAATAATCTGCTGTTTTGGCTTATGTTGATCCTCATTAGTGCAAGAAAACCTTTCCCGTGCCCACCTTCGTCGAGCTCCTCCTCCCCGACGCTGAAGATGAGCCGGATCCAGCCCGGGTCGGCGCCATACAGCTTACTCCCTGGCACCACGTACACGCCCGCACGCATCAGCTGGGCGTGGATTTCTGCAATATGGACACCTGTTTACTTCACACTCGAAGTTGATCCTTCTGACCCACGTCTCGCTTCGGTACATTCTCGTCCTTACTGCTTACACATATTATTCTTTTCTTTCTTTCTTTAAAAGGAGAGAAAGAAAGAGTGAGAGAGGGAGGGAAGGCAAGAGAGATAGAGACAGAGAGAGACAGACACACAGACAGACAGACAAAAGGCCTCGACACCTGTTTACTTCACACTCGAAGTAGATCCTTGTGACCCACCCATCTCCTCCTCGGCGCTGTCAGTCTCCATGAAGTCCCGGATGGAGAACCAGACAAAGAGGCCCGCCCTCGCCTCCCTCACGCGGGCGCCCATCGCCTCCAGACGCCCACGGGCTCGCCTGTAAGTACGGCCGAGCCTCTCGCTGTTCAGTCGGAGGTAGAAGTCGTCACACCAGGCTGAGGAGAGGAAGGCCAGGCGGAAGCAGGGGGGGGGGGGGGGGAACTGAATAGTTTCTGTGCATGAGCATAAAATGGGAGTGTATATGCGTGTGTGTGTGTGTGTGGTTGTGTGTGTGTGTGTGTGTGTGTGTGTGTGTGTGTGTGTGTGTGTGTGTGTGTGTGTGTGTGTGTGTGTGTGTGTATATGTGTGTGTGTGTGTGTGTGTGTGTGTGTGTGTGTGTGTGTGTGTGTGTGTGTGTGTGTGTGTGTGTGTGCTCACAGACATGCATATATTCATACATACATGCATTTATACATATTCGCATACATAAATACATAATGTGTTTGCACATAGGTATATTTACGCACATGTGTGTGTGTGTGTGCAGATCTATTATATAAATACACACACACTCACTCATATATATACATATATATGTATATATGTATGTATGTATGTATGTATATATATATATATATATATATATATATATATATATATATATATATACACACACACATAAAGATGTACCTATGTCCGAGAGCAGCGCCGCCGACGCGTGGTGCACGAGGTGCGGCGTGCACTTGTAGATGGCGACGGCGCGCAGGCAAGCCATGAGCTCGGCGCAACGGCTGACCACGACGCCCACGCGGAGGCCTGCGAGCCCGAAATCCTTTGGGGAAAAAGACCAATAGTGAAATGAGCAAAACGAGGAGAAGGAATAAGGCAAAGTTGTATAGAGTAACACCGGAAGGGAAAAAAGTGAAAGATACCTAATTTTTTAACTCATAGTACAATTTATGTGTGTGTGGGTGTGTTTGTGGGTGTGCGCGTGTGTGTATATATAATCTACTCATCTATGTGTATCTATGGGAGTGTGTGTATATATATATATATATATATATGCACACATACACATATATATACATAGCTGGACTTCCAAACGAGAAGTGGAAGAATAATAAGAATCTAAAAACTACCATCATCATAGCCCATTTAATACGAAATCCAGACGTTTCGGGTGTGATTTCAACCATTTTCAGTGGTAAACTAAGAAAAAATATGGATAATATATCATATATATATATATATATATATATATATATATATATATATATATATATATATAAATTAACAAGAGAGTGACACAGGCTAAGCTAATGTGAGCACAATGAATGTATAATTCGTTAGATCATAAGTTCAATAGAAAACATTAGACATATCAGGTATAAGTCTAAAATATCACAAATCTGTCACATTTAAAACATTCGTAATTATTATAACAAATCAAAATTATACACAACAATATATGTGGTTTGCCTCTCAATAATAACCTGAATATGTAATTTTTTGCCAAAAATTAAATACAGAATTTACCTCAGTACATACAAAGTCTCGCAAAAAGAAGGAATGCTGGGCTGACTATTTTGAAAATTAAAATACTAATTTTTTCATTGGTTGCTTATTACAACATACATGCAGAAAGAGATAAGAAGTATGTGTGTGTGTGTGCGTATGTGCATATATGTACATATGTATTAGGTTTATATTTTATATTTTTATATTCTAACAGCCATTTATTCCTCTGCAGGACATAGACCCTCTAAATTCAATATTGAAAGGTTATATGGCAGTGCCATCCTTGCCTGATTGGATGCCTTTCCTAATCAACCAAGGCACGCTAACACTTGTGCCACAGCGAAGACTTGTTTATATATATATATATATATATATATATATATATATATATATATACGGGACGACTGAATAACAGGAGTCGCCAGCTTCGACAACAGACACCAAGAAACCAGCTGAATATAGGAGTACAGTAACATTACACAGCCGAAATTACCCACCTTACTCAGTCCCCACAAGACGTGAGTGCGTTCTGGATCCGGGTGAGGCAGGCTGAGGACGCTGTGGAAGGGAGGGCGAGAGGAAGGCTCGTCTTCGTCCGTGAAAATGGAAAGGGCGTAGATTTCGTCGCTGATGAAGTGGACCTCGTGCCTGTGAAGAAGACGGCCATGTGAGAGGGAACACGGGAAGAGGGAGGGAGCGAAGGAGCTGGAAGCGAGGAAGAAAGACAGGATCCCACGAACTCCCTCCATGCCACGTACCTCGCGCAGACGCCCATGAGGTCGGTGAGGAGCTGGGGGGAATAGACGTCGCCGAGAGGGTTGTTGGGGTGCACGAGCATGAAGGCCCTCACGCGGCGCCCCTCCTGACGCAGGGCCTCGATTCGCGCCTCCAGATCCTCCGCACGCAGCAGGAAGCTCTCACTGGAGGAACTGACCTAGGGAAATGGACCAGCATGATGGCATATAAGAAGAAACAGAAGCAGAGGTGGAATCAGGGAATAAGGTGACAAAGATATGCTGGGGGGATTTTCAAAGTGACAAGAACGTGTTTCGACGAGAAGATGGATCCAAGAAGAACATGAAGCAATTTAGTTTAGCAGCACCTAGGTCTGCGTTCTGGACAGGTACTTGTTCAAGGAATAACAAAATGAGATGTCTGTTACTGTAGAAAGCACGTAAATGATAAGATGGAGTCGAGAAGTTAGTGTTTTAAAGATATGGAGCGTTTAAAATTAGATAAGAAAGAGGAAGGAGGATGGGCATGGATGACAGACAGAGAGGAAGTTTCGCTTCATATCTCTGTGCGGCTGTCATCTCCTCTCACATTAACACAGGTAGCCCCACTCCAATCTTGATGAAAACCCTAGTTGGCAACTTCCGAGCTAAACCCTGTCCGATCGCCTTTATTCACTACAAATATTAAATACTTTTTTCATTTCATTTTCAATCATTTTACCATTGTTATTACTAAACTATTTTCAAAGAAGACTCACTGAAAAAGCACATACCATGAAATGTCACACACACTGACCAGGTCGAAAAGGGACCGGAGCTAATGACGTCATCAGCTTTATCTAATGTGAGGGCATCATGAGACACCAGATACAGCTAGATAAATAATTATTTAAATAATTGACTCGATATTGTTATAATTACCAGAGGAAAAAACAAATCCACCCTCTTTTACTTATAATAACGAAGAGTTCCTTACTATTAACAACCGTCAGAAAACTCTTTTCATACCGCTACAGAAGAATGCCCGCCCTCACCTCCTGACGCAGTACGAGGGGCAACACCTCTGCCCCGCCCGATCATGGACGTCCGTAAACATGCGGGCGTACACAGGAGTGGGCGTGATTATGACGTCACCTGGGTCGCAAAGGGCGTGGCTCAAAGCGTCGAGGCATGACGTCACTCCGTTCAGTACGACGATCTGAGCAATGGATGTTTGTTGTTCGTATATTGCAGCGATGTGCTGTTCATTGTTGAATTCATTTTCATTTGTATATACAATTACACACATACACACGTCCATACTCTTATATATGAAATGATACGCATCTCTCTCTAACTCTCTCTCTCTCTCTCTCTCTCTCTCTCTCTCTCTCTCTCTCTCTCTCTCTCTCTCTCTCTCTCTCTCTCTCTCTCTCTCTCTCTTCTCTCTCTCTCTCTCTCTCTTTCTCTCTCTCTCTCTCTCTTTCTCTCTCTCTCTCTCTCTCTCTCATCTCTCTCTCCTCTCTCTCATCTAAAAACCGCCGTCCTGACCTCGTCCTCGCCGATGTCCTTGGGGGGGCAGAAGTGCCTCTCGAGGAATCCTACGAGTGCGACCTTAAGCTCCCGCGTCCCGGCGAAGTCGTAGTAGTGCTGGAACGACGGCGAATAGGAGAAGCGCATCTCCGCGACGCAGGCGCGCAGACAGCTCCTCCTCCATCAGGCGGTTCACGGCCGTGCCCAGGTTGATGATGCCCTGAGGGATATGGCGCTGGCCAGTCATTCTAACCAGAGGACACAGCTAAGTAAACCTAATATAAAATAGCAGGCAAAGGAGCACGTGTCTTTCCGGATTGCCGACCAAGGCTTATGTAACACCTTCCATAGACCTCATATAGACCTTATGGCCAACCAAAACGGCCTGAAAGCCTGCAAAGTCTTGCCAGTAGGCGGCCAGCGCAGAAGGCCGCGCAGCCCACCTCGGGGTTGTCGACCGGGTGGTAGGGGTTGGCGCTGGCGCAGTTCAAATACTGGATCAGGAAGTCCTCGTAGTTGGCCGTGACGGCGCCTCGCTTGGAAAGGACTCGGGCGGCGTCCTGGCGGCGCTCCCCCGCGCTCTCTCCCATCTCGTCGTGTCTGCAAGGAAGATGGTAGAGGATCCAAGAAGATGGGAACGTAGTTTTGGTTCAGGAAATCGTATGTTTCTGGATATGGCAACGCTTTCAAGACCAACAACTGTTTAGCAAACACCTATAACAAGCTGTTTTCGTATGGGTGTGTGTGTGTATGTGTGTGTGTGTTTCAATGTGCTTGTTATTGAGTGTGTGTATATTTCATTCTATATTTAACATAAACATTAGCTGAATGAACATGTATATATAAGACATTTTCATCCAAGCCTTCCCAGGTTCTGCAACAGCTAGCCGGCTACGGGACACACGAAGACCAGGGACAAATGCAGGATCTTACTAAAGCTATAATCATGATAAGTATTTCAACTTTGAACATGATTATTACAATTGCTTAACCCTTTCAGTGATACGGACGTCGTTTGGCGCTGTGCTTAATTCCTTGAAAATAAGATTATTCACATGGGTGTGTAAGTACAAAACCCTTGTTCTGTGTTCTCGAAGCTTTTACACCAATACTAGTACGTAAGGTTCATATAAGATATTTTCATTTGGGTTTATTGAACCTAGAAATTAAACTGACATTTTCCGAGTGTAGTGTGACAGCAGTTTGTGGTATGAAAAAAAATCATCATAAATACAAGATAAATATTTGTAAATTATACAAATATTTATGTAATATAGATATATTTGATAGCTCTACCCCTTTTTACCTCTGTTTTTTTGTATATTTTGAAAATGGTAACGAAACAATTTAAATAGTCGCCTTGAAACAAGTAAAAAAAATAAAATAAAAATATATATTTGCAACAAATGGAGGTAAAGAGACAGGGCTTAGCTCAGTAGTTGCTAACAAAGGATTTTCAAGACGGTGTAGTGCCACCTGTCTCAACACTTTGCCTCTCCCTATTGTGTACATATCCTGCAAAATATCTTTGCCGGTGAACTGACTATATACTACTCACACTACGTAAATTATACAGCAATTTTATATATGTGTGTGTGTGTGTATACATATGTATATTTATACATATATATATATACATTTATATGTACACATATGTATATATACATACATCTCTCTATCTATTTATATATATATATGTGTGTGTGTGTGTGTGTGTGTGTGTGTGTGTGTGTGTGTGTGTGTGTGTGTGTGTGTGTGTGTGTGTGTGTGTGTGTGTGTATATATATATATATATATATATATATATATATATATATATATATATATATGTATGTATATATATATATATATATATATATATATGTATATGTATATATATATATATTTTTTTTTTTTCAACAGCCATTCATTCCACTGCAGGACATAGGCCTCTCTCAATTCAGTTGAGAGGTTATATGGCGGTGTCACCGTTGCCTGATTGAATGCCCTTCCTAATCAACCGCAGTTCGGCGCGTTAACACTTTTGCCACGGCGGTGACTTCCCCTACGACACCTGCGTTTGACTTCTCAAGCCGATATGTCGTTTTTCTCGGGCTCGAGGTAGCAGTCAGAGCGTAGGCATTTTTTACAACTGCCGCGACGGGGAATCGAACCCGGGACCACGAGGGTGGGAGTCCAGTGCTCTAACCACTGAGCTATCGCGGCAGTTTTTTTTTTTTTTTTTTTCAACAGCCATTAATTCCACTGCAGGACATAGGCCTCTCTCAATTCAGTATTGAGAGGTTATATGGCGGTTTCACCCTTGCTTGATTGAATGCCCTTCCTAATCAACCGCGGTTCAGCGCGTTAACACTTGTGCCACGGCGGTGACTTCCCCTATATATATATATATGTATAATATAGGTTATATATGT